TAGCCAGCTGAAACCCGTTTTGAAAAACCGAGGTCCAAAAACGAAGTGTTCCCAAAAGTAAAAACCAAGTTTGAAAAACATTGTATATGGTATAAAATAGTGAAAACAAGACTTGTTTGGTAAAAACCAAGTCCTCAAGGTCGTAAATCACGTGCGTACGGTTTTGACCGTTTTTCACGTGTTAGACCGATTGACCAAGATACAAAAGTGGTTTTATAAAATAATTATTTGGAAACATTTAAAATATGCTCAGAGATAAAAGCGAGGTTTAAAACATTGAAAACCACCGAGTTGGTTCGGGCACCAAAAACCGAATGCCGAACACCGAGTGACGAACACGGTACGCCGACTTAGGTGATTTTGGTTCTGAGCAAGGACCAAGGATTTTAAAAATAAAAATTTTTATCTAAAATGTTTATTTTGATGCATAAAAACATTTTATGATATTGTAAAATAATTTTGACTTTTTGAGAACCGAGACTTGAATTGATTATCGGTTTTGATCACAAAAGACCGACTCGACTAAGTCTTCAATTCTTGATCTTGTCCTTGAGTCTTTTTGGTCATGTTCCATGCCATTCTTCACGCCTTGAGTTATTCAACGAAACTCTTCATATCCACGGCGGTTTGGCAATTATCAAAACCTGTCAGAAATGAACACGACTTTAGTTTAACGTACAAAGTGTGTTCCAACAGTGTCCATTTTTAACTCGCGCACGAAGTATGGCCATTACATATAGCAATTGTGAAATTAAACGGTAAGTGTCCGTCCGAAATTATAGTAATATAGAAATGGTTAGTGTATGATTGTGAATAAAAATAATAAAATGATTTTTAATAAAATGATTTTTAAGCATGCTACCAATGATTTTTAAGTACGCTACCCAGGTATGATTTTTAAGCACGCCAGCAAGAAAGGTAATAACCAAAAGATTATATAATTAACTGCCATTTTTAACCCGTGCACGAATTATTACTCCGTGCAAGAAAGGTAATTTCCAAAAAAATGTTTAAAAGCGTTATTATTACGTTATTAAAAGTGGAAATAGTTAAAAAAAGGTAATAATAAACCAACGTATTGATTGTATAACCGTGTGAGTAGGTAATATAATATAATTATAGTAAGAATAATTAGACACACAGTTTCGAAAATAACTGTGTATGCTTATAGTAAAATATAATTATAGTAAGAATATTTATAGTATAATATAATTATAGTAAGAATCCATACTTTATTTAAAAAGATGGAAAATCGAATCAGTGTTTTCACTCCCAACCGTTTTGGTCATTACATTAGGTAGGTCACATTTGATTTGGTAAGTCAAATCCGCCATTAATAAATGTTGACCATTTTAATATTATGGATACTGTTACTATAAAAAAATCCTTTGGGAAAATTTTCTAACGTGATTGAATAAAAAAAAGTTAATGGCGGATTTCATTTATAAGACACTCTTTCCATTAAAAATATTAAATTCAAAAAGTAAGGTAATTTCAAATTCAGCATTAATAAAGGTTTACCATTTTAATACTATGGATACTGTTACTATAAAAATTCATTGGGAAACTTTTCTAGTGTGATTGAATCCAAAAAAAGTTAATGGGAGATTCCATTTATCAAACACTCTTTCCATTAAAAATATTAAATTAAAATATGCACATAATACAACTGTATTACTATAATTACTATTTTATTTATTATTCAAAATGGAAGGTAATTTCAAATCCGTCATTAATTAAGGCAATCCTATTTTAATACTATGTAAATAATATGGAAAGACCGTGTTACTATTTAATTAGTGTTTTATTTATTGTTCAAAACGTAAGGTAATTCTAAATCTGCCATTAATTAAGGTTTACTATTTTAATATTTTAATATTATGGAAATAATATGGAAAAACTGTGTTACTGAATTGATTAGTATTTTATTTATTATTGAAAACAGAAGGTAATTGTGAATATAATTAGTAAGTAAAAAATTGGTATTATAATAGAAGATTATACGGAAAATATATAAAATGGTGATTGGCACGTGATTGACTAAAAAAAGCTACTAACACTTTTCATTAATAAAACACACTTTGCATTAAAATTATTAGTTTAAAACATGGACATAATACAACCCTGATAAGCATTACATTAGGTAGGTGTGAAGTTTAAATAGTAAGTATAAAATTGGTAACTAAAAAAATAGTATTACTATTTTATTAATTTTTACTTAGGTAAAATCCCCCATATCATTAATATTATTATTTCGTAACATTGTTTACAATTTAATATTTAATACTATGGAGCTAATATGGAAAGACCGTATTACTATTTAATTAGTCTTTTAGTTATTATTCAAAACGGAAGAAAATAACATATACAACGCAAAAATGACGTAAAAATGACCCGTACAACGCACAGGTGTGATGCTAGTTCGGTTTAAATAACTTGAAGGCCCCTATATTTTCAAAAAACTTATATTTTCAAAAAAAATATAAGGGATCTGGAAGGAGACATTTCATCCACTTATTAATAAGTGTTAAAAAATATATTTTTCACATTTTGTCCTTACTGTAGTCATTTTTATTATATTTATTTTTTATATCAGATGACCATTTTTTAATTCATGAAATAGACTAAGATTAGAAATTTAAAAAAAAAATTGGAAAAAGAAAAATAAAGAAAAATAAAGAAAAAAGAAACTAAAAATTGAAAGCTTTGAGCTTTATTAACATAAAACCATTACAGGCAAAATAGAATGTTCTAATTAATTAATCTGGTCATTTGGTTAAATAATCTTTGAAAAATTATTATGTCCATTTGTCTATGAATGAGAAAAATAATTTAGTCAATCAATTCTAGCACATTAATGTGTTGGAACACACTTTATATTGCGATAAACTAAAGTCGTGTTCATTTTTGACAGGTTTTGATAATTGCCAAACCGTCGTGGATATTAAGAGTTTCGTTGAACAACTCAAGGCATGAAGAAAGGCATGAAACAAGACCAAGAGGCTCAAGGACAAGATCAAGAATTGAAGACTTAGTCGAGTCGGTCTTATTGTGATCAAAACCGACAATCAATTCAAGTCTCGGTTCTCAAAGAGTCAAAAAAATTTTACAAAATCATAAAACGTTTTTATGCATCAAAATAAACGTTTTAATAATTTTTTTTAATGGTTCAAAATCCCTGGTCCTTGCCCAAACCAAAACCACATCGGTTGGCGCTCGGCATTCGGCGCTCGGTTTTCGGCGTCCGAACCATCTTAGTGGTTTTAAATATTTTAAACCTCTTTTTTACTTCTGAGCATATTTAAAAGGTTCCGAAACAATTATTTTATAAAAACCAATTTTGTATTCTGGTCAATCGGTTTAACACGTGAAAATCAGTCAAAACCTGGCAAACGACCTCGAAGACTTAGTTTTTATCAAACAAGTCTTGGTTTCACTATTTTATACCATATACAATGTTTTTCAACCTTGGTTTTACCCTTGGGAACACTTTGTTTTTGGACCTCGATTTTTCAAGTTAAGTTTTCGCAGGGATGGTTTTGACCAGTTGATACTCGATTGTCATGTTGCAACGATCGACTGTTGGCTGCTGCATTTTCTGATAAATAAGTTCAAAGCCATCCAATAATAAATTGACACTCATTGTCACTCAATTATCAGTGTTTTTCTACAAAACCAGAATTTTCAGAAAAGCTTGATAGTCGAGTGACAGAACTTGACAATCGACTATCAGTGTTATCGTTGCCATCCAACGGATAGAATTTTAAATTTTTGGACACAGAATCCTTTTATACTCAAATATCATGCTTTGATAATCGACTATCACTCTTTGATTATGAAAAATTTGTCTTCATCCTGTTTGGAGTTCTTGCAACGGTTACACCCAATTTTGGGCTATAAAATGGCACCCAAATCCTCTCATTTTACACACAATTCTTCAATATTTCAATACACTTTCATTGCATAATCATCCTTCATATTTCTTAGCTATTTGAGAGCCAATTCTTGAAGAAATTGTCGTGTTCTTGAGCATTTACTAGTTCACTCATATCTACTCTTTGTGAGAGTTTTATTCCTGAGTGTTTAAGTGTTTTTACACACTTGGAGGGAGGTTGTTCCCTTGTTGTAATTCAAAGGAAGTTTTCGTTCCTTCGTGTGAAGTCTTGGAGTGCGGTATCTACGAGCAAAGGCGTTGAGGCTCGTGTGACTCGAGTTCTCAAGTTGTATCGGTTTGTTGAGCACCTTTAAGCTTAATGGAGTTAGTGTAGCTCGAGAGAATCTCTCGGGAGGCTGGATTAGCCACACGTAGTGGTGAACCAGGATAAAATTCGGTGTGAGAGAAACGATCAATGGCTTCTACTCAAAACTTATACGCAGGTTTAGGTGAAGGACAATCCACCACGAGGCCTCCGTTGTTTGACGAAACGAACTACACGTATTGGAAGGAGCGGATGAGGATTTACATCCAATCCACCAACTTTCTCCTGTGGAGAATTATTAAGAAAGGCGAAGAAGTGCCTATGAAGAAGGTTGGGGAAACCAACGTCCCTAAAATCGAGGATGAATATGATGCGCAAGACATCAAGAAGATCGAGAACAACGCTAAAGCCATCAACATCCTCTATTGTGCCGTGAACCCGGATGACTAATGGAAGATTTCATGTTGTTCCACCGCCAAGGAAATGTGGGACAAGCTTGAAATCACCTATGAAGGTACGGATCAAGTCCGAGAAGCTAAACTAGATTTTCTGACCCATGAATATGAATTGTTTTGTATGAATGAGAATGAGAAAATCGATGAGATGTTTGAACGATTTTCAAAAATCATCAATGACATTCATGCTCTCAAGAAGACGTACACAGACAAGGAGCTTGTGAGAAAAATCCCGCGGAGTCTCACACCGAAATGGCGCTCTAAAGCTAATGCTATCCAAGAGTCCATCGGCATCACCAACGTCACCATCGACGGGCTTAGAGGTAACCTCAAAACCTATGAGTCTACCATTTTTTCCCCCTCTTTAGGTGAACAAAAGAAGAAGGGGATTGCACTCAAGGCTTCCACAAGCCAAGAACCTGCCATGGAGGAATCAAGCAACGAAGACAATGAGTTCGGGCTCGTTATCAAGAAATTCCACAACTTCATGCGGAAGGAGTATGAACGGAAGAGCGAGAAGCAAGGAGGACCACCCAAATGCTATGGGTGTGGAGAAATCGGGCATATCAAGCCAAAATGCCGAAATGCTAAGAACGAGAAGGAGAAGAAGCCATTTAAGAAACACCGTGCTTACACCAAGATTTATACTGGTTCACCACAACGTGTGGCTAGTCCAGTCTCCTGAGAGACTCTCTCGAGCTACACTACTTCCGTTAAGCTTACGGGTGCTTAACAAACCGTTACAACCTGAGAACTCGAGTCCCACGAGCCTCAATACACTTGCTCGGAGATACCGCACTCCAAGACTTCAACCCGAAGGAAAATACCTTTCCTTCGTACAACCAAGGGAAACAAGCTTCCCTTAACGTGTATACAACATAGTTTGAATAAATTTAGAAAAAAACAAATAAGAGTTGTGAGTTACTCGTTCCTTTCTAAAAGAAAATGAATTTTTGAGACATACAAAAGGAAAAGAGTGAAGCCTTTTTTTGAACGTGACAAAAAGTGTAAAATTCTTCGTAAAATGTAGATAGTATATATTTTTTCAAATTGATTGAGTATTGTATGTACAACTCATATGAAGTATTACTCGTATTTTGTTTAAATATTTTTCGGAACAAATTAATATTTGTTGTTGTACAAATAAATTTATAATGAAATATTCAATTCATACGTACTATACGTAATTATACGTATAGTATCAAATATACGTGTATTTTAAAGTATTTTTGAAAATCATATGAATACGTGAATATAATACGCGTATTATACATACGTAAGTATAATACGTGTATTCTACGCGTATTAACTAACTAGGGTATACAACACTAAAAACACTCAAGAACAAGACTCTCTTTAAGAGTCGATGTTGAGTAAACTATATGCTCAAGAACAACTCAAACTTCACACAACTTGGCTCTAGAAAGCTATGAAAAAAATGTTATTTGAATGTAATGATAATATGAATAATGTGAAGTCAATTGATTAGTGAAGCAGACCCAAACACCCATTTTTATAGTGCCAAAATAGGCTCCAACGGATCAAGGCATTAAAAGGGTGATTGGCATGATTTATGTGATTGATTAAAATGGGGATCTGCATGATATTGGCTTTCCCAGTGATGTATGGACTTACCCATCACTGGAAAGCCAATTTTCCTTCAGTTTTGAAGGCAACGGTCACCTACCCATTGATGGGTAAACACTTCCCATCGCTGGGTGGGAGGTTGCCTTTCAAACAAGGAAAGAATCAGCCTTAAATGACTCACAACGGTCATGCTTAACTAGCGATGGGTATTCCCTCCCATCGCTGGGTTCCCATCGATGGATAAAGGTTCACATCGCTGGGTAAGGGCATTCTGCCTTGTGATTATATTGGACCAAGGCTTGCACAGCTGGGTAAAGTTTCCCATCGCTAGGTTGAAGGCTGCTTACCCATCGATGGGTAATATCTCCCATCGCTGGGTGGCATGATTCTGGAATCCTGGGATAATTCACCCATGGATGGGTGATATCTACCATCGCTCGGCAGATGGCTAGTCTAGAACCATGGTCTAGCTGACTGGCGCTGAAACCCGACCAAAAAATGCAAAGTTTTCCAAAGTAAAAACTAAGTATTTTAAACACTTATTTAATGTATTGTGATGTCAAAACAAGCTTTGTAAGGTGAAAACCACGTCGTTAAGGTAGAAACCACAGTTAACCAAGTCAACGCCGTACACGGGTGGTTTTT